CGCCTCAAAGCCAACGCTGATTGGACGTTCGTTTGGTGAACGGCTCCAAATTTTCTTTAACGGAGAGTCTCCAGACTGAACTGAAACCTTGAAAGCTCGCGAGATCAGGATGGTCTCACGAGGCTAGTAATTCTAAGATGAAAGTCAGAATTCTGAGATTAAAGTCATATTATACTTAAATAAAATAAAAAAAATCTGTTAACATTTTTTTTTTTTCAGTGGCCCTAATCCTCTTCCGTAATAATGAACAAATTTATTATCTTAAAAATTAGCATGAGAATAATTGGTCAAGTGGGCATTGGGACCAATCTAGATGGTCTATAGGGAGGCCAGACTTTATGCTACCCTCCTGATGGTTCATGCAAAAATGGGTAACAAATCATATCACAAGGGCGCAAAGCTATGTGAGATTACTTTATGTATAATGACTTTGTTTTATATGCTTTTTAGAGTCCAAATAAGCCATTGTTACGAATATATTGTAAAGACAGACCGATAAATTGGCCAGCCAATATTTTCGGCCCATATTTGCATTTTTTGGGTGAAAATTGTTTTTATAAAACAATTGGGCATGAATTTAAGGAAATCACCACCCAATATAAATCTTTAAGTATGTAAATCAGTTAAAATAAGATAACACTAAAACTGTCTGGGTTATGGCTATTGTGAAAAAAAAACAACAACAATGATTTAAGTTCCAGTAGTTTTTTTCCTTGTAAAAGTGGCGGAGCTTTTGTTTTTCTTTTGTTGAGCTGGAAGCAGTAAACGGGCTGACGTTTCTGCTGTTTTTTCAGACGTGATCTGGGAGGGTAACTGTTTCCATCCTCTCCTCACCTCTCCTCTTTCACCTGCTTTAAACAGGTTAGTAAACCACCGGATATATTTGTATTCAACCAAGAATTAGTTTAGTTTGTCATGGTTTTGGTTCTGCTGTTCTTTACTTTGCTCTTTGTTTTCTAGATTTATTGGTTTAATTCCAGTTTTGTTGTAATTTCTAGATTTATGTTAGTTCTCATGCTTTTCTGTTGTCCTCTGTTGCCCTCTTGTGTGTTCCTTTCCTCTTGGCTCCCCATTGTCTCCTCACACCTGCTCCTTGTCAGCTCGTTAGCCCTGCCTTTGTCTCAGTCAGCTATATATACTCTCCCTCTGCAGTCAGTCCTTGTTGGTTTCTTGTCTTTGCTGTCTTCCCATGCTGTGGTCTACGTTTCTCGTCTCTCCCTGGCTCCTCGTGTTTGTTTTCCCCAGATGTCTCCATAGTTCTGGTTTGCTTTTGTTATTATTTGGATTTTTGCATTCTTGCCTTGTTTACTTTTTTGCCCCATTAAACTGCAAGAAATCTCCTCAGCCTCTCTGCCTCTGCATTTGGGTCCTCAAACCACAACTAAACCCTGACATAGTTTGTTTTGTGTGTATATTTCATGTTGTTGTGTCAGTATAAAATGACTTAAAAGTAGCTTTTGGAAGCACATTTTCCCGAGCGGCTGCCGTTTGGTATCTAGACAGTTGTTGGGTTTATTTTGGAAACTCCTGAGGAAATGCTTTAGCTTTTAATAATAAGGTTGTAAATGCATTTATGGAGAAATAAGCATTTTATTGGTATTTCACACTGTTTTTTTTTTTATTTTTTGTTTAATTCTGAAATGTTTATTCTGAAATGTTTAGTGTTAACACAAGCATATTCCATGCTGCCTTTTTCAAAGATCTGTAAACTTTACAGCAGCTTAACTTTGTATTAGTTTGGCATGCACATTTATTGTTTAGTTAATACTTCATTAAGAGTTTTGAACATGTAGTAGGCTATGATATAAAATGGAGTGACTTTATTCACAAAGACTGTTAATGTAAATACATGATTATACAGATGTGTTCATCTCAGGAGTATAAGTGACCAAGAAGATTTGTTAACATAAATGTGATACTGAAGGTGGTTTAAAGGACTTTTACAACTGAATTGAGGAACTGAGTGAGCAAAGTTTTAATGAACTTAAGAAAAAATACAGCATTGCTTGTGACAAGATAATCTTCAATAAAAAATATGTGATCTGGGAGAGAAACATTATCAATCCTTTCCTCACTTCTCCTCTTTCACCTGCTTTAAACAGGTAAATGTGTTAATGTGGTCATCATACTTGTATGGAGGATAAAAAGTGCCAAAATTAAATAAATAAATACAGCATTAAATAAATAATTAAATGTGTCAA